CATAGTGTGAATATTTTCAACATGTACTGTAAGGAAGTAGATCAAGAAAAATAGAAGAGTTTCTTCATCCTATCAAGTGCACAGCAAATCAGTAAACTTTATGAAATTGTCTGGTGAATCTGGACACCTTTGTTTTAGAAGTTCAACATAATATATCCTAAAAGGATTTGATTTCCAAAGAAAAATGCCCATTCCCTGATGATTAACCGGAAACTTTAAAGGATTTGCATTTTGATGTCCACTTACAAGGCTCTGCTCCTAGACTTTTCTTAAAAATGCAATGGGATAGAATTGAGCTGACTAGAGAAAGAGTGGGCAAAAAATATGAAGACAAATAGATAAGCAGTAAATGCATGCCTATGTCTCTGAAGCCTACTCTTGGAGGATAATTATTGGTCTTTCCAAAATCTGGCTCCCAATCTCTCCTGGCAAATGGATTGGTTTTCCAGGAAAAGACATGAGCTTTGTCCAGCATATCTTCTGACTTTATTCAGTAGTGTTCTCCAAACCACAGTGCCATTAAGGGTATCTCAGTCTCACCATTGCAAATGAGCTGAACTTCATTTCCAGTATTGTCTGGTCACCGTTTATTTTTGTATTCCTGGAAAAGGTGCCAGCTGTTTTGAAATGGCATTTGCCACTGTTTACCTCGGTTCATCTGTTGGGGAAGGTCTGACCTGAGAGTTAACCAACTCTATCTATTCTGCAAAGTGTCTGATAAAGTGGAAAAGGCAGTGGCTTCCTCTAGATTCATTCTGGGTTATTTTTCTTCTTCTTTGGTTTATTTTTCTACTCAGTCTTGACCAGGCCTGGTTTTATTTTGCTTTTGGAGCTGACATTATCCCATCCCACTGAGACCTGTCTGCTGTGTGGTGACTTCTGATTATGCTCACTGGCACCCTAGGGACTGAGTTAAGTAAGAGTCAAATCCAGGACTTTGGGACATTTGATCCAAGATATAATTGACCAAAATGTAAACTGTCTAAAAAGCTTACTGCTTTTTCTTATTATGGTCCAGTTTTCTTTCTTAGAAACATTTATCTTCTCTGAACATACACACAGTTTTCCAGCATTAGATCCCAGTTTTCAGTTCCAAAGATCTGGACTGGCCCACAGCCATAGTGGGTATTCCCACAGTTAGCATTATCCTTGCTTATTGTTTAGAGATATTTTCAATCCTTAATCCTTTCCTAAATCCATTGCCATGGGGTATTCCCATTATGATGCCAAATCACCTAAGGCAGGGTCTGCCACTGAAGAAAAGTGAGCGGTGTTATGCTGTAAAGTTGGCAAGAGGCTGGAAGCTGCAGAACAGGGGCCAGAAAGAGTGTCTTGGCTTGGGATGGGTTTGGAGAGGAAGCTGAGAGCTCCCTGATTCATCGAGAACCAATGTGCCACTGATATGCCAATCAGCCATGATGAGCATCTTTTAGGGGTGGCATCTTCCACTCCCTGTTGTGTTGCTGTTGGCATGTTTAGAGGAAGATAAATGCAGTCTTTACCCTTGAAATGCCGATGGCCCTTGCCATAGAGCATATAACAAACAAATCCCAAAACTCTGACTTTGAACTAAGTTGGATTATGGTTCTTGGTTCAATAATACAGTGGTTTATGTTTCTAGGTCTTTTCACATACTAGTTGAAAGTTAGATCTGCATTCTAATATAAGAACTGAACTATGTCTTTCTGTTTCTTTATTTTCTGAGCATAGTTATTGTGACTACACTGTATTGACTTTACTTATATACAACCAGCAAAAATACCTTAGTTAACTTTAAACATGTAAGCTGAAATAGCAGAGCAGTACAGCTGGAGAGACAGCCCACACTGTGTTCGCAGGGGCTCAGTTAGTGTCACACCTATAGGTTCATGGTGTTTGAGATATTCCAAGTGTCTGAGATACCTATGGCTTCACAGATATGATTCAGAGCCCATGACAGATCTGTGTCTGCTGGAATAGCAACTGGAGGCCAGGCAGGGTACTCTGGAACATCTCAGGAGTCTCTAGGTGCCAAGGTGTCGGGACGTGAATTTTGCTCTGTGGCTTGAACTCATGTGACTGTAGGAGAAATCCTGGAATATGCCAGAATTTGTCTGGCTGACATCATCTTCCTTGGCTCCCATCAGCTTAGGATGCCTACAGAAAGGCTCAGTTTCCAGACCTAAAGGAGATCCAGTCAGATGGAGCATGCAGAGTGAGTCACCTCATTCAAACACGAGACGTAGATGCTGAGTCCAGCTGCCAGTACAAAGAAGGAAAATTTTCCATGAAGCCTAATGCATATTTCCCTTCTGCGTAGGGATATTCTAAACAGAAGTAGGATAAACTGTCTAGTGGCTCAGGAACTGGACTGTTTGTTTATTTATTTATCTATTTATTTTTGTAAACCTAAGTCTTTACCCTAGCCTCACATCTGCCACGTTTCTATCACCTGTCTATATTACTGCTTCCCATGTTTCATCCATCATTTGCATGTTGAGGTTAAGACTGCAGGGTTGGGAATGATTATAGATTTTTTGTCATGTTGTGTGATCTTTGAGGTCAGCTGGCATCTTCATAGGGCAGAGACTCTCATCTGCAGGCCATGCTGCCTATAAGCTGAGTACAGATATATTAAGATGACTGAGGCTGATTCATGATAGTGTTTGTTTCCGCTTTCTTCCTCTTATGCTTAAAAATAACTTCATTTTTAGGACAAGACAGGCACTGAGAACCCCAGATGCTGGCCTTGGATTTTGATGTATTGGAATGTCTTCTCATTTCTCAGCCTAGATTCCCATTACAGAGCTACAAAATGTACCGTCCCTGAAGTTATTTGGGTAAATGTTTTTTGTTTGTTTTGTCTTGTTTCTTCATGGGAAGAGGATGGCCTTTGTGGAGATTCAATACACTCAGGAAACTGAAGAAGCATGGAATCTGAACCATGAATACCTGGGCATTGTCTTCTTTTTTATTTTATTTTATTTTTTTTTTTCTCTTATGGAATATAAACGGCAATATTTTCAAGAGGGAGGGGAGAAAAGGGAGAGCAAATTTTTGTCACTAAGTCAATCAAAAAATGTATTTGTCACTTCTATACCTTTCTCTCCCTTCCTCTCTTCCTTCCAAAACAACTGGACCTTTCTTTTTGTGTTTATTGCATTTGTAAAAAAAACATCTGTAAGAGAGTAAGGGAGAAAAGAAACTAGAACAACTGTGTAAATCTCATAAGTGCAAGGAATACTCTTGGCCTTTGGTGAAAAGTGGCAAAAATAGAATATCCATCAATCAGCAACAAATGCAAAATTGTTCATATGTTTCTCAGCTTTGGAAAACACCACCTTTAATATGCGTGATGTAAAAGGAAAAACAAAACAACAACAACAACAACAAAAAACAAAGATGTATGAAATGTATGCTAAAATGGATCCCTTCTCTGTTCTCCACAAGGATATCTTCCCATTTCAACAGTCTGGCTTATGAAATGAGTAAAATGTCTTTCCCAATACAAACTGGAAATTGTTCTGATATACATGTCTCAGTCCTGCAGCCCTGTAGCTTCGTGCATTAAAATATGGGATTCTTTGTCTCCTGGTTTCATTGTTGTTTCTGTGTCTGTGTGAGGGAAGGGGAAATAGGAAAAAAATGCTTTTGGGAAAAACCTCAGTAGAGGCAAAGAAAAACTGAGAAGCATGAAAAAAAAAAAAAAGAATAAGTTGGCTCATTTTTCTGGGGGAGAATCATTTGAAAAGGAAAAAAAAAAAACAAAAAACAACAACAACAACAATCAACCATTCTGTCCTTTGGTGGGAAAAAAAATAAGAATACTGAAGCTGGTACAGTTCATTAGGAAATAACAAAAAATCCAGATTAACAACACTCCATTTAAGCAAGATGTATTGTTAAAAGAGACATCTTCAAAACTTAGTGGAGGAAAGATAGTCATTGGAACACTACTAAAGGACCAGAGTACTGGTATGAGAGAACACAAAATTATCAAACACATAATACACAACCTGTAACAAAATGTACATATAAATAATCATGATAGCAATTCTGCAGTTAGAAAATTAAATGTAGTATTAAGATAATAATAATAAAAATCTAAAGGGAATTCAAAACTCTGGTGGAGATTGACAAGTGGAAATCTGTTCCTAGGAAAAAAAAAGGAAAGAAAGGTGTTAACTGTACATGAAGATGCAAATAAGAGGCAAGAAAATATATAACCATGAATGACTGTTTTTGGAGAATCTACCTCGGAAGCATCAATCCTAAACAGAGAAATGCATTGAACAGGCCACTGATGAGATCACAACAGTATCTCATCAAGTGTGCTTTAGTGTGCAGCGGACAGACACCAGAGATAATCACCACCATCCCTGGGCCATCTCCTTGGGGATCACTTTGTGGGCATCTACTTCCCTTCTCACCGTTGGCTCCTGTGTTTTCTTTTTCTTTTTTTCCTGTTTTTTTCTTCTCAGAAAGAGCAGTCAGGCATTGGGACGGGTTGCCCAGGGAGTCACTGTCCCTGGGGGGGGTGTTCAAGGAAAGGTTGGATGTGGTGCTTAGGGACATGGTTTAGTAGTGACATTAGTAGTAGGGGATGGTTGGAGAACCCTTGGGCTCTAGCACTTGTAAGGCTGAGGAGCACCTTACAGCTCATTCTGACCATCTCCTTTCTGTCCTCCCTTCCCTTGTGTTATATTTGATGCTTATCTTAGTGGCATAGATATTTCTGTACTATAAGGACTACACATTGTCAGATATTATTACTGGCTTTGTTGTTGCTGATCACAGGTGAAACACCCATATAATCACATGAATCCAGCAACTGGGACTTACACAATGCTCACGGGTATTCCAGGAAAGCTTCAAGGGCTGGTAGTGCTGCATGTGAGCATTCAAGCCCTTTGGTGGAGCAGAATGAGGGGCAAAAACAACCAGGCTAAGCACAACCACTCGGGTTAATGAGCACCACATGAGCATGCTAGGCAAGAGGACTGCCCAAGTACAGCACCTGGGGCACGCCAGCAACCTGGTGAAGCAGAACAGAGTAAAATAACAGCTGGTGTTTCACCGAGTGCATTGGCAGGGCTCTTCGTGGAAGGATATGCAGGTCAGCCCAAGGTGCATAAGCAAAGCTGTGTGTGGGAGAAGGCTGGAACAGTGCCTGCTGCCTCCTGTATCCCAGGATATGCTATCACTGAATTTTGTTTTCACAAGCACAAGATTCACTCACAAGCAAATCAGAATAAATAAGCAATATCTCCCCCTTCCCTTCCATTCCTTCTCTCCCCTACCCCCCAATCCTGAATTAAGAAAAAATAACCTCCTATCTAGAGAATGTTTCTTTTAAAAAAATGTGGCCAGGAGACATGCCAAGTTTCTGGAAGATCTTTTTATAGCACTAGCATCTGGCTCTTTGGGAGTCTCCGTAGGGAGTTTTGTTGGTGACTTTACATCTGCTGTGGTTAAGCTGCTAATGGACTGGCTGTCTGGGCTGCTGCCTGCTCTGCTGATTTCTTAGTACCATGCTTTGGTTATTTGAGGAGTTTGAGCCTATTGACTTCTTGCCAGAATTACATAGTACATTCCAGCAGCGACTTGCATTGCAACACCCAGTCATGCAGAAGGGGTTTCAGATGGAGCAAGGATATTGGCTGGCATTTCATTACTCTCTCCTTAAACCCACCCAAGCTTGGATGAGAGTGGGGTATGAAGCATGGACTGTTTTTGATCAGGAAGCCAAAGAGAAAGTTAATACTAATATATATATATATATTTTTCACTGAAGTTCATAATCAAATAAACAAATGAATACATCAACAATTTCATTTTTGGGATCAAAAAAACTACTTTGTCCCTCCCCCAGTGATATATTTCAGCTCAGTTTTTGACATATTCAACACTCTCTAAAAACTCTTTTTAACTTCATCTAGTTAATTACTTATTTGTAGTGAAAAATCAAAATGTTCCATCTGTATCATTCTGAAATGAAACATTTTTATATTTTCAATATTTTTCTCTCTGACTCTGATTTTTTTTTCAGCCATACCTGTTGTGAAAATTACACATGATTTTAAGCATGAATTTCATCCATATTGCCATTGCCCAAAGACTATGAAGTTTTTCTTGGAACTGTTTTGGGGGTTCATTTTTCACAGCTGACACATTTGAATTTGTAATAGATTTGCTCTTATGATGAGATTTATTGCCACTTAGAAATACCATTTTTTCCCTCCACTGAGAATAAAGTGATCCTAAGCAGCTACTTCAGGAACAGGTTTTTTGAAGTAATTTCAGTGGATTAATTAGGAGTGCATCTTGTCATTTGCAATGCTCTAGAACATTTCCATTCCTCCTGGCTCTAGCTGTTGCTTAGAAATATGCATATCTTCTGCGTATTCTGATATGTGATTATTATGGATGAGACTTATCTTATTCAACTTTTAAGCTTGACTGATTTGCTTACAAAGATTGTTTCTCCATAGACTTTGCCTATATATTACTTCACCCCCTCCTCACTCCACCACTCACCATAAAGCTAGGGCGATAGGTTTATTTGATTTATTTGGTTGTTGTAGCAACATTCTTGGAGGGGTAATGATGTGAAGAGGTCTGAAAATTCAAGCTTAGAGGTAGAATTAATATCCAACTATATGCTGCTGATCTTAATATATATATATGTGTATACATAGAGATGCAACTACACTTCACAATGTAGACCATGTGAGCTCTGAATTCACCAAATGCCTTGTGATATAGCATAGCTATTTTTCCCCAGTTTCATTTAACATGGAAAATTCTTTGGATTCCCTAAAGTTTCTTATGTGTCCATCTAGGCTTCTTCTCACATTTATCTTGCAAAGTTGTTGAAATATGTCAAAAGCCCAACAGAACAGCAAAATGAATGTTTTCATTTATACATCCAAAAGTGCCTGTGTTTCTGTACTAGCTGTTCTGTGAATTCCTTCACTTTCCTGTAATAAAAGTGCCATGGGAGAGTTATGATGCATGCCAAAGATAAAAGACAGGAGAAATGAAGAAAGAAAAGTTCGTATGTGTGTAGGTAGACCTATGCTGAATTGAAGCAACTGTGTGTCATTTAATTTGGGACGGCACTAACATTTGCAGCTGGGCTTCTGCTCCCACCAGGTAGAATTGATGGGTGCGTAGGTGCATGCATGCAAACACCCAGATAACACAGAATTAAAGTATCTAAAGATGTAATTTGACATTTCTGGAATGAAGTTTCTAGTTTGATGGTACTAGGCTTTTGGGAGCCTAGTACCAGATAAAAAAAAGTAAAATAAAATCAAACATACCAGAATCTCATAACCATACCATAAAATCAAACATGCCATAATCATGTAACACAAAGTTCTGTTTCAGTGCAAACTCCCTGTTTTTCTTCAAACTTACTCAAAACTTCTGACATTCACTTGGTTTAGGCAGACTTATAGGTGGGGGATCACAGAATCACCTTTCTCTTTCATTCTAACTTCTTGCTGGGTATCCAGAAATTAAATGTTATTTAATCTAACTTAATTAAGTTAACTTTTAGTAGCTTCTGTAAAGCTTGTATTAGAGAAGAAACTCAGCACAAACTCTAAACCATGCCTGCTGGACAGAGTGAGAGTATTGCAATTGTTCAGGAAAGTTTGGGCTGGAAGAAAATCCATGCAACTTTCTGCAGAAACTCAGTCCCTTCCAGCGCTCATGCAGTGCTATATAAAAACTGAGGCATTACTTGAAAATTTTCTGGTAGCTGCAGCTCAAGAAGGCACCTCTTGTTTATGTGGCATCTCCCTTCACACTTCATGCAAACCTTCTGGCTGCATGAGGTCACACCAAATTCAGACTAAATTCACAAAAAGTGATGCTTCTGCTGATTGTTTTGATTTTGAGGAGCTCATTATCTGATGATGCTCAGTCATGACTTCCTCCTACCAGACAGCCTGTGTTTTAGAATATCACCTACCAAAGGCAATTTTTAGGGAAGAAGAAAAGCCAAATAAAACAAAACCTCTATCCCAGTCAACTCAGCTGAAGAAAAAAACTCCCCAGAAAGTGCTGAACTCATGAGTAATTCTTCTCCACTGACATTTGTAAATGCTGAGAGATGGTAAATAATGGGAACAAAGATATTTGGAAAATGCCATTTTCAGGCAACAATTAACATCCACAGAGTAAGTCCATGCAAAACCTGTTTTTGAGAACCAAGCATTTCTTGAATGGAAATGCTCATGGCTTGCAGAAAACAATGAAGTTATCTTTTGAATTGTCTCTGTCCGACTCATGTCTCTGTGCTGCCGGTGGCATTTATTTTTTCTCACAGTGTACCCAATTCTGAAGTGTCATTGCTGATTTGAATTGTGGTAGGGTCAGTCCACAGTCTTCTCCCCAGGAAACACATAGGCAGATATTTTTAAAACACAGAAATAGTTTTGGATCTTAAATTCCCCCAAGGAATTTACAGCACAGGTATGTAGACTTCTCTAGATTTGATCAGATGGTTTTCATTCTGATTACCTCAATCTGAAAGGACAGGTCCTTGAAAACACGGCATGTGTTCACCACTTTTTTCCCCCCTTTTTCCCCCAAAGTAAATAAAATTTGGTTTCTTTCGTCCTTGCCTACAACATCATTCCTTTGCTGAACTGAATGAGGATCAGTGGATGATCATGCTGAGCTGCTTGGGATCAGTGTTCGCTCTGACTCACACTTGTGCAACACTATAGCATGATGTGTGGAAATGGAGTGAGCAAGAGGACTTCCAAGCTGGATATTTTGAAACTAAAATCCAGGTTTAGTCTGGACAGCTAATTTACTGTCTCCAGAGCAGAGCTATCCAAAGCAAACCACTGTCCATATCCAGACCTTGAATAAATTTTTATAAAATCTCTCCAAGGTCCCAGATACATAAAATCTTCCATATTCCCATAAACAAAAATTCTGGGGGTCCCAATGTTGTTCTGCTGACTTTTTCGCATTGTAGACAGTACATGCTTGTTTGATATGCTGGGGCTGGTGTGGTGTTTGCTGCAGGGAGGAGACTGGATCTTGGAAGCATGTGTGCACGGCCCCAACTTTAAAGGTAAATTTTATAGTAGTGATGTAGCTCTGCATAAGAATGGGTCTTGGGATAAACTGAGTAGCCTTGGTAGCATGTAAATAGTACGGTGTTCTACCTGTGGCCTGTGAATTTCTGAATGGCCAGGCATTTCTGAAGTGTAGGCAGTAATATTACCAGGTTAACAAAATGCCTGTATGCAAACATACCTGCATGCCCTTATCTTACTGAAGGATGCATAGTGCTGGTCTATGGAGACATGGAAATTTCTTTCAGGTTGTCCAATTGGGACACACATGTCAACACAGACACCATGGGAAGTGGATTAGAGTAAAGGGATGTGAAGGAGTGGACTGCAGTGGACTCCACCCCTTGGCAGTGGACTGCAGAGGTCTCTGCTTCCCATCAAGTCTTCTGAGATTAATTTCTCTTCTTCAGTTCAGCAATGCCATCTTCCCAAAAAGGCCAGGAAGGACTTTTGCTGTCCCACAAATGGAGTTTTGTACCCTTTGGAAAAAAAGAAAGTAGAGTGAGAAAAATGAATGCATACGGGAGGCAGCAAGTAAATACAAAATATTAATATGTTCCAATACTACATGTATGGTGAGCAAATCCCAGATTGAACAGAAGTACTATTAGCAGCTACTTCTCATTATTAATGGCTATTAACTTTAAAATTCCTAATAATCGTGATTCTTGGCTAGGATTACAGCCATTGACTGGGACCACACTGCACTTGCCAGAACAAAACTGAGCAAAGAGACAGTTTCTGCACTGTAGAATTGACAGTCTAGTTTCTTTTAAAGCTATTGTTCTCATCAAAATGCATGTTTATGATGTTTACCCAGTGATTCATGGCACAACCACACAGAGAAGTGAGTAACTGACAAATATACACCATTTTAAGCAACATTATGGTGTGCAGGAACTGTATGAAGAATGACTGAGGAAAAATTCTTCAAAGTAAAGCCCAAGCTTTCATGTCTTTCTGGGTCCAAATTGTTAATAAGTGGCGGAGTAAATTCCCACTTCTGTTTTGGAGAACGTAGATGGATTCGAGTATGAGAAACATTGTCAAAACCCCTCGTAAACTGGTGTTTTGCTTTCTGGCATTTTGCACCTCTCCTGCCTTCACACTACAGTTGACTCACATTGTCACGTCCCACACAGCAGCAAAGTGTGGGGGCTTTGGCTGTGAAAACATTTTATCACCCTAATAAATGTTGCGTGAAAGGCTAGAAACTTCCTGGTCTTCAAACACATGCTCAAAGTCCTTGTTTAGAGGCATTTCATGCTTAGAGGTTTTCACACTTTGCGCAGGTGAAATACTGGAGAATTTTGGCCTCCAGAATGAGCATGACCATGGAGCTAAAGTCAACTCCTTCAAACCCAGAGCTGATGCAATAAACTGTTTATACTTCACTTTTCTCCCTTTATATATGATTTTTAGTAGCATTTATAAGTGTGAGCATTGTGTGGTGCAGCTCTGCCAGCAGAAGCTGTGAGGATCATCACACAGGCAAAACTTCTCATTTATTGGTACGGTCTGCACACAGAGATGAACTCATGGCCCAGCTTCACCAGCTGAGGGGGAGCTTTCGGGGAAGAGAATAAGTGGCTTACGCCTGCAGAGCTTGGGAGGATGCTGTTGTAGGACACCTGAGACCACATTGCTTCTCCTCATCCTAAAGGGGCAGGCTGTTTTTACTAAAGAGACCTTTCCTCCACAGCTAACAATACAGTGCTTATGATAAATGGGTTTAGGAGCCAGGGAGCACGTGTGAGAAAGTACTGACACACCACACATGAGCCAATTTCAAATTGCTGCTATTTAAAACAGGGTGTGTGTGTGTGTGTGCATTGAAGTGATGTTTTCCAAGCTCAAAGCTGGAGTCTGCTTCAGAGCCAAGGTAAAGTTTTAAGAAATAATGACTGCTTAACTACTGTCCAGATGACCCTAGTTTTTTCTACACAAGCACTGAAAAAGGGGAAGAAAAAAAAAGAAAAAAAAAAAAAAAAGCACTCAGAATAATAAATAATAAGAACATAACTTAAAAATGTCCAATTCTGCTCAGTGCCCAGTTTGCTGTAAAAACAAAGCTTTGAAATGTAAAAATGTAGAAGAAGACTGAAAATATGTGCCACAGGGGACTATTTTCTATTTCTACTATAAATCAAAAGCACTGTCTTAAGAAGTTGCAAGGTTAGATTTGGTTCGGGGCATATCGATTTGTGGGTGGCAAAGTGTGTGCCCCAGGCTGTGTGGCAATTTCACGCTACTCCCAGACAGCCCTTAAAATAGAGCAGCCACCTAGAAAGCTAAATAAAATTCTCTCAGGTTTAGAAAACAGCCACGATTTATGGGAATGCACCAGAATAATTTGAGCCGCGTGGTTTTGTAGATCAGCTTTGACTAAGATCACCCCATGGATGTAGTGAGCTGCTCCTGCTCATGAGTCCTGCAGGGAGAAGGTACAGGATAAAAGGGGGAATCCAAGTCGGAGGATGTTTTGTTCCCAGGAATAATGTCAGAAGATGGTATTTCTGCCATCCCAAAGGAGGAAGGATGGGAGGGATGTTGTAAGGTATCCCTTCACCATGTGGTGGACCTTCCCCACATTAATTTACTGAGGACTTCACTAGCTGGTTTCATTTACTGCCTGCTACCCTGTGATGGCTGAATAAGGAATGAGCTCCCCATTGGGCTGTTTTAGGACATTAGCTGTTAATCACAGCTTGAAGACTAGCATCAAACGACTGCTCTTCAATAAAAATATCCTTCATTTTTCTAGAGAACCGCTTTTTAGCTGTTGTCAATGTATCCACCCATTATGGACACACAACCATCTTGTGCTCACTGGGATTAGGTGCTCACACGTACATGGCCACATGTGGCTTTGCAACCAGTTCTGCACGTATCTGCATCAGTGTGCCTGTGTCTGGGTCTGGCTCCCATCTATGGATGGAAATCTGTTTTGGAAGGGAGGGAATGTGACAGGTTTTGCTGTTCTTTTTTGTCTATTTCTCAGTAGAGAGGCATGTGTCTCCCTTTGCAGCTATACAGGCAGGGCTGAGAGCCTGTTAATGAGTATGACAAGCACATTCTCAGGGTACAAAACCATGTGTATGGTACATGTGCATGCACCTTGTTAGGCTGCTATCTTCCTTGTTGGTGAGAGATGGTAGAGCCAACATAGGCTTATGGTGCCCAAGGAACCTCCTGAGCAAGATGTGATTTCTAAAACATAGCACAGGTTATAAGGGACATTCAGCCCAGCCTTGGTGGTCAGAAAAGCCTGAACTCCACCTCACATGGCTTATTTTCCCATTTCACACAGTTGGTCTGTACCAGCTGGGAGGTCCCAGGGCCTCCCTCCCGCAAAAAAAGAAGATGCCCAGTGAAAAGAGGGCAGCTGGATCCCAGGGAAGTCTTCACAACCAACCAATGGAAATAACTTGTCTGTAATCTATAAGGCACAATAGTTCCAGAAACTGCTCTGGGGAAAAAGCACTCCAAAGGCTTCACATGGAGGTGGGGTGGTAGGCTAGGGAGCCTCAGACTCTTTTTTTCCTTTCTCTTCTCTTTTGCTGACTGTCAAGAACCAATTTCCCGGGTGGGAAGGAAGTGTGAACCTCAAGTCAGACACAGATACTCTATAAATTAACAAAACCTCAGAGAGACAGGAAGTGTCTAGCGACAGAGCAGCATAGCCAAAGACAACAGATCCTAAAGACACCCAAAAATGCTCCACCACCCCCTCCCAGTGCTACCATTAAACATACGTTGGCTCCATTTTGGCTGGGTTTGTTTCCAAGAGGTCAAGATGCTCATCTTGTCCCCAGCCTGCCTGGAGGTTACATAAACAAAAGACAGTTAATTGAAGACAGTTCATTGCTCTCCCTCCTTCCCTTCCTCGGAGGATGAGCTCTCAAAAACCTCTCCAGGGGAGAATGGGAAAGGAAGGGAAGGGAAGGGAAGGGAAGGGAAGGGAAGGGAAGGGAAAATTAGGTTGGACAAGCACAAAATCTGTAAGAGTGATTACCTGGATCATGATCAGTAATCAGATGCCATGAGTCCCTTTCTACCCATGAAGTCTTCCAAAGGCTTCATCTCACTAGTATACATAGAAATTCAAATATACACCATTACTGACTTAATTGCAAATACATATTGATAGTACTGAAACTGGTGATTTCTTACTGGTTTTCATGAAGGACACACACTGACGAAAGTCTGAAGAAAAGCCAGTTTATATTCCTGTCTTCCTTTGCCATGTTCTTTCCAAGCATGCTTCTCCCCCACCTCTCTGAGCTCCAGTAGTTGCAGGTTGATTTAGAGGTTTGATAATTTTTTCAGTGATTCCTGATTATCTGCTGCAGTACAATGAAAGATACAGACAGGGATCGTAATTGGCATCTTGCAAACAACTGGCTGAACAACAGGGATGTAATGAGAAATTGCTGAAGTACTGCTCTGCCTGCTACACACGCGGCAATGTATCTCCCCTCACACAAATGTGGCAATTTCTGAGAATAATATCCTTTAATGCTCTGCAGATTTCATTTGTCAGGTCTGATTGAGGATGGCAAAGCACAGAACAAATGTCCTTGGACAGAATCCTGTAGGACAGCGGTACGTAATAGCTGTCATACAGTATTTGCTATGGGATTTACGTGACTACGAGTCAACATTTCCACCTGTGCTAGATACCTTGAATTCTTTTTATTGTTGTCAGAGAGGTGCTCTGCTCAATACAGTTAATAAACTGAAGCAAGAGCCTTCTCATCCTAAAGGTTGTGCTGAAGGTAGTTCAGATGAATTATTCCCTAAAATCCCCATTCGTCTCTCCTAAATATAAAGGAGGGAAAAAAGAGAGTCTAACTCAGCTGTACTTTTGACACTGCAGACCTTACGGCTCCATTCTCCATCTGCTGCTATTTAAGAGCTTAATGTGGGCATGTTTATCCCCCCAAAGCCAGGTGGGTTTGGCAGCTGGTGTAGATCTCAGTTAAAGAAAGCCATGGGTAGCAGCCAGAAGAAGTCATTTACAGCTAGTTCATGCTGACCTCTTAGGTTGCTTTCTGACTAATTTTTGGTGGTTCTGCCCACTGGGCCACATCCCTGGTGGGACTTGGGATGATGTGGGCAGCAGGGGGAATGAAACTCTATCCCACTGTCTCTGCACCACATTATCACCTCCTCTCTCAAACAAGGCAGAGCAACGTGGTAAATTGCTGAACTGGTTTGCTGGATCTGCTGAGACATTTCCACAGCCTTTGGCCACCCAGTGCTCACCTACTTGACCTCTGAAAAACCTCTGTATCTGAGCATGCCATAATTTTCTCAGTCTTTTTTGGCTTCTCTCCAGGAATAACTCTCCTATTTTACTCTGCTTTTTTTTTTTTTTTTTTTTTTTTTTTTTTTTTTTTTTTTTAAAGGGTAACTGAAGCTTAACATTGTTTCAGACACACACGCACATAGATCTGCACTAATATATGTATGCACTTTACTATCTGGAAAAAGGCAAATTTGTCAATAGGAATAAAGCCATTCAGAGACGTGAGAGGCTGGGAGATGTACAAATCCTCCATTATTTCACTCTAAACAAAATAACCAACTCTTTCATAAAGGAGAGTTCAAATGTACTCTATGTTGCTCTGGGGGAGTTCATCTCTTATTCATTGAATTTTGCTGCTTTCTATAGAAGGCATTGAGTGGGAAATTGTGGAAGGGAAGGAGTGTGTCAGGCATGAATCTGAATGCGTATTTGAGAGCCCATTCACAGTTGCATGGTGTTGGCATGTGAATATATTTTTCTGCAAGTCTCCAGACTTTTCAGTTTGTCATAGGATTGCAGGGTAGCGTTATGTGTAGACAGTATTGTAACCTCTAGTGGAGGCTAGAACATTTATTGCAGCAGCAAATGGCCTCTCCTTCTTCCTAAATGTTTATAGATATGGGATACATAAGTGGGGTCTAGACAGCTAAAAACAATCTGCTTTAATCAATTAATTTTATCTGAAGATATTGAGAAACAGTCCAGCTAAATCACCAGAGAGGAGGTAGCAGAGAAAGGTAAGTGAAGGAAAGCTTTGTAACTAGACATTTGTATCTCAGGCATCTAAAGTTAGGTCAAGTAAATCTTGAAAGGGCGGAAGACATCTATCTACTCAGTGAAAGAAGCAGCTTCGTTTGCCTGTTGTTTCAGGTGAAAATGTAGAATACATCTACCTCTCCCAGTTTTGGGGCCCATTTATAACAAAGACATAGAGTGGAGCAAGCTCAGCAAGAGAGTAACCAAGATGGTCAGGGAAGTGAGGAGAGGCTCAAGAATCTATGCTTCTGTGCTCTGGAGAAGGTAAGGCTTTGTGGGGACCAGCCAGCAGCCTGCCAGTACCTGTGAGGAGTTGACCAAGAGTATGGAATCAGGCTTTGCAGAATGATGAAGGTAGAAGGACAACAGATAACAGTCAGAAAGTGAAACTGTGGTTGTTCAGACTGGCTCCAAGGAGGAATTTATATATATTTTTACCATGAGGACAGTCAAGCAGTAGAATAAGTTGTTCGAGGAAGGTTGTGCACTCTCCATCTTTTGTGTTATTCAGAATCAAACTTGACATAGTAGCTTGGCCTGGTCTCATAGCTGATCTTGTTTTGAGCTTGAGGTTTAGAGACCTCCTGAGGTGAGGCTTGTAACACAGTAGGATCATGAGCACACTCGGTGTTTGTGCTGTTACCACAGAAGACTTAAATGATATTTTCTGAGCTCTGATGAGCCCTTTCAGTTGTTCTTCCCTCATTTGATCTTCCTTTGCTGTGGCTCCCTCCCTTTTGGAGTGGATGGGGCACTCAAGACTCAGTGTGGGTAGATCCTTCTAAAATTGCTGTCTTCTGAGCCTCTTCCATCAGCTCTGGTTTAAGGTGTGTGGTACTGACATATTTAGAGGAGTGTATTTGTGGGAGAAAAGGTGTGTTTTTGATTTCACACCTGAAGGAGTAAGACAGTGAGGAGGATGAGGGGAAATGTCATATGGTTTTCTTGTGACTTGTTCGGGTTTTTCAGAAAATATTTTCCTTTACTTTGATATCATGGTTGGTAGACCAGAAAAATAAAACATTAAAAGTAAATAAATAAAAAAGAAAGAAAAAGCCTCACAGTTATATATTTATCCTTAAACCACAAAATTCAAGCATGACAGTATATCGGGCTATTTCAATACACACAGGAAAGCTATTGTTGAGCAACATTATTCCTTGGTTTTACTACTGTAATGCAGGGGCATGTGTTAGAGTTTAGAAATTCCCTAAAGAGCAGCTGTTGGCCTGTAGCAATTTAATTGAGAATGTAACTATGGCTAGTTGATTTTATTTCTAAATCTGTCTTTGGCTCTTTTTCCCTTTATCTTTGATCTAGTAGGCCTGATCCAAGGGCCACCCTGGACGGGGCAAATCTGCCTTAGAAATTGATGAAATTGATTTGGATCGGTCTTGGTCAGCACAAAGGTTATAGCCAAACATGTACTTAGCTTTATACCCCATCCTTGCAGCTGGTGGGAACGAACCTAAAATAAGAACAGAACTTTCCATTCCCTGAGGAGAGAGCTGGTAGAGATTTTTCTAAGCATATGTGCATCAACTGGGATATGTACTGCTACAGTTTTGATGCCATAAAAGTCAGATGCCTAAATCATGGCAACAGAAGGATCCTAGATACTCCAATATTACCTTGTGGGCAGTGGAGACAGACAGGTTCTTTCAAAGTGTGGTTTAGAGGAAGGATCCAATTAATTGTTCTGTATTGCCTTCTCAAGGCATCTTTTTTTTCTCTGTTAATAACAGAGGGAGCAAAGGAAGATTAGGTTCCTAATGTAGATATTGGGTTAGAGTCAGATGCAAATCTAGATGCTGACCCACCTATGCATGTCTGCCCCAAGTGTCCTACCTCCCCTCCCAGTGTAAGAAAGATCTAAGGTCAGTTCCATTTCCTCAGTGCATGTATGTGAAGCCATTTGAGATTCCCTAGGCCAAGTATCCTGCCTCCTGGGGGACCAATGACAAGGGACAAGAGAAAGTTTCAGGTAAACCAGTGTGCCTGAAATGGCAGTAGATGCCTCTATTTGGCAAATGATTTTAACCTCAGGTCTGTGTAGACCATGACTGGATACAAGACACCCCATTTGTATAAACACACTGAATATAGTCCTTTGAATCCAGGTGATTGAATCTGCATGGTGGTGTCAATAACCTTTTACATCACCTGAACATTTTAAAGTCCCAGTCACCCCCCAAAATATCAAGAGTAAGACTAAGAAGAAAGCCTATTTGGATGTCCACTGGTGGTTAAAGCATGATTTACCTGGGAATAAAATGGAGCAGCATGATCCTGAACCTTTCTGATGATTTCCTTGAAATATATATTATTAGGCAGTTCATTAGCATACAGAGTGCCTGAAATGACCCTCAAATTAACATATTGGTGCATGTAGAGCTCTGAGGAGACACCAATCTGCATACCAAAATGTTGCAGCTATTTTATCTCAGAAGTATTCTCATGCTAAGAGGTCTGAGTTTCATAAAATCAAACAGGGCTGTTGAGTGTAAACCCAGGACTTCACTTCATTTTGAAGGAAGTTTTCCTTAGGCCCGTATGTCTCAGCCTCTGTTGACTATAATTGAGACTTTACTGTCAAGCTGCATGGAATGTGCATGGAATATGATGGAATATGTGGAATACGTACATTTTAGTCTCTCTTTTTTTTTTTTCTTTGTTTGTGTGTGTTCTCTATTGCACCAAATCTCTTTGGTTCTCACAGCTATTAAAACCACAGATGTTAAATGGGAAATAAATCATAATAGCATCTCATTGCTCATATATAAAGTTTGATTGGGTATTTAATACCTTAACTAACCCTTATGCAAACACCTCACCAAACTTGTGCAAGACTTGAGTCTCTTCAAGCAGATTTTTTAAATTTTTAATAAGATTTTAATAAGAGAGAGGTCAGGAAAGGGAGGCAAGGCAGAAAATAAGCCATTTAGAACTGCTTTCTTTATAAAGAAATTGAGAAAATATAGCAAGCCAAAATTAGCAACAGAGGAAAGTTTTATACAGTGGCCCTTACTAAAACCTCTAAAAATGCCTTTGCAATTACTCTGACCACACTATTTCCCAGATATTCCTGAGGCTAGACATGTATTGGATCCTAATTACAGGGAATATCATGATGAAGGTTAATCACTAACCCCAAAATTGTAGGGACCCACATGAACATCTCTGTAAGGAGATAATCAACATTTCTGTAGGATATATTAGTCAAGCTGTGATCTGTAATCCCTATTCAGGCCACTCACCACAGTACCGAAGGTAAATTTAGACATCTGTCATAATATCTTAGATTTTAGATAGGGATTCATGGCTCTATGTCAAGATGAGTCTCCCTGACTCTGATCCCTGCACAACCAACAGAGGAAACTATGGTGAGGCATAAGGCACTTACAGAACTGGACTGAACACGACCCTTTTTCTGAGTAGGAATGAAGATCTATTGCCAGTAACCTGAGCACAACTTTTTTTGTGCTTGGGATATACAATTCAGCCTCAAAACCTTGGCCAAACCACAACTGAGAGACTCCAGTGCTCTGTATTTGACACCTGACTTTACCAGAAAATTCATTGCTGATGCTGGATGTGGCTTTTGCCTTGGCCTTTCCTCTCCATCTGCAAAACACAAGCTATAAAAAACTTCTTCATCTACTCAGAAATGACTCATCTATCTAGTCACAGAAATCTAATTATATTTTAGATGACTAAAGTTATCCCACTCGGTCTCCAGTTACAAACTTAGATGATCATGTGTTTCCCCTTGGTCTTGTGTCACATCTTTTAGCCCTGTGTAGATATCTTGAGTATCAAAAGGTGCCTCAGATATCACAAGACACCGAATTTTAGGTTCCCAGATTGTTCCATGGGTGACTATCATTAAACAAAAGTGCAATACACACAGGATCATAAACTTATTTTTGGTCTCCTGAGAGTCATCAGAAAGAAGCCCATCTTCTGATATCTTAAACAGTTAAAAAAAGATTCTAATGGGAAATAAGTAAAAGCAGGAATATACCAGTTTTCTGATCTATACCAAAGATATTCCTATAAAAGTTTTCAGAATCCAGTACTCTTTGAGCACACTGGGTGAAGAAAAAGAAGATATTTGCTTTCTTACAAAGAAAGTTGTGGTCTTCAATACTGACACAGGATTTACAAGAGAGCTGTGCTTCCCCAAACTGCAGCTGGAGGTCAGGCAAGAGAACCCAAGTCATTTTCAGTAACAATTAATGCATTGTGCTCAGGGAATTGAATTAATCCTTCAGGCAGGAATTCATCTTGCAAATTCATGTGTCAAAATATAGGGGGCAGTATGTGGGACAGGTGTGGAAATTGGCATCACTGTGATCTCAGCTTAAGCGTCTGTATCGATATGTAGAATCTTCATTTGAGATGTTCAGGAGGGTCCCATCTGATGTTTCTGTTCCAGGTAGGTGTCTGCCAGGCCCTGTGCTATGTTCACCCTCCCCTGCATGGGTGTCTTGGATACTGAAAGACATTTTAGATGGAAATGATTACTTAGACTTCAACAACTGAATTACATCCCTATTAGCTTTGCAGATGGACCACGCTCTAACTTTCACTGAATCCATCGACCATTTTTCCACTAACTGAGATGAGATTTTACACAACCTTTTCTCATACAGACATTTGCGTGTTTTCACACAAAACTTGAGTTTGAATCTGCAAGCCGAAAGTACCCTGAGTTCAGTGATTTGGTGCATGTGGTTAACATTTCTCAGAAGTTTTGCAGTATCCTGCAAGACTCACTTCTAACCTGTACCTCCCTAACTTTGGGTAAATTTCCTTCTCTTAAGTAATTTCATAGCACTAATATAGACACTAGCACAGTGTCAGGCAACATTTTGTTTCAGAGCTGGGAGAGATTATGGGCATGCATGCTTTTTACCATGGGTCAGTGACATGGGATAAGTTAATTAAGTGCAATGTGAGTAAAAACATGAACACTTTCAGTCATATGAATGTGCTCAGGAATCTTTCTCAGTGCATCGCTTTGTTTCCCTTACTGCAAACTTAAAGTGTGCACTACCATGTCACCCAAATTCAACACAGTGCCTCAGCATTTGCTTTTGAGCATGTGATGAAGCAAACCCCTTGTACCCACTCACAGCTGGGTGAGTTTTATGTTCTCTTCCAGCATTTTATTTCCACATTTTATTTATTCACTTTTGTGGTGGCAAATGACTCCTAAAGCACCTTTCAAGCAAGCAACATTAATTAAAAAAGACTGTTTCCAAAGGCGTAACTTGACAGACTTGAATTTACAGCTAAAGAGCAAAAACCAGTGTTTTTGGTTGTTTGTTTCTTTTGCATTGTTTTTAATATACGCAAATGACATGGGGATTCACTAACAGCTCAATTCAAAATTGTTTCATCCCCAATAGGGGCCATTACAAATATTGTTCAAAAACAAAGGACATAGTCCATTTATGAAAGTTAATGGAGCAGAACGTTCACTTTAATTCTGAGTATTCCCTGTGTCTGGTCCGGGCATGCTTGTTTGTGGAGTTTCATGTTTTAATTCAGAACAGGTGTTGGATGGAGAAATTGAAGAATAAATTGACCAGACAGGCAGCCTGTCAAGAACCAAAATAGGCCACCAAGGCAGGAGGTGGAAGAGAGCAGGTTGCAAACTGCATAACATCTAGGGAAAGATTGATGCTCTTGTTCAAGTGTGATTGAGCGACTGTGTATTTATGATTTCCTTGAGCAGAGTCTGAGGTTTATAACCTACTGGTTTTAGACTGTTTTTGGACATGGCCATCACTCACCAGAATTAATGTGCTTTTCTTCCTTACAAACATCTTCAAAAATGAAAATACTCTTCCTTTAAAAGGGAATATTTCAGCATTTTTGTATTCAAATCCTTCTTTATTTCTTCTTCTGATCTCAAGCAAAAATGGAGTCTTTCTTCCCCATTTGTTTTTCTTTTCTCCATTTTTTTTTTCATCCTCTGAATGCTTCCCATGACAGTAAAAGAAGCAAGTGACAGCAAAACCTGGGAAAAGAGGAACTGAAATAAAAAATACATTTTCAAAGCACTAAGAAATTTTATTATTTTCAATTAAAGGTTTTGTAAGTTCCTTTAAAAAGCAGAAGATGAGCTGTGTTAGGAAAATCACTGCATTAAAATTTTTCAACCAAAAAAACCCACAAACGAAACAATCTTGGAAGACTGTAACTTTCAACTGCCTTTGTCAGTACTTGGAGTCAACAATACAGGTGCAATGTTAATGAAGAATTGAATATTTTTCCACCATTTTCCACCATTTGCAATGTAATTGCATATAATTTGGAGAAGGTGGAGGCTGAGATGCATACCCAGCCATGAGTTTCCAAGCCTCAGTATCCCAAGCCAGCTTATAGAGGTTTAAGCACACATTTCAGATACCAAATCCATAGATAACCCATGAGGAGCAGATGGCACAGGTTGTGATGTACTCCTTTTATTTGGTTTAATTATAATCTCAAGAAAGAAGGTATAGCTTCAGGTACGAGGTATAAGGTATATTCAGGTATATATATATATATATATATTATATATATAGGTATTTATATATATATATTTAAACTAGGAGCAACTGCAAGTTCCTGAAAATTATTTTCTTTGTGCTGGGGACAAAGAATCACAGAATCATAGAATGTCTTTAGCTGGGAGAGACCTTAAAGATCACCCAGTTCCTCCAATCCCCTGTCACAGACAGGGATGCCATTCCCTAGATCAAGTTGCCCAGGTCATTGTCCAACCTGGCCTTGAACACCTCCAGGGATAGGGCATCCACAACTTCTCTGGGCAACCTGTTTCAGTGCCTCACCACCCTCTGTGTGAAGATTTTGTTCCTCCTAACTCTTAATCTAAATCTCTCCTCCTCTACTTTTAAAACATTTCCCTTTGTCTTGTGCTATCTGCCCAAGAGAAAAGTCGTTTACCATCTTTTTTAAAGCCCCCTTTAAGTATTGAAAAGCTGCAATGATGTCACCCTAGAGCCTTCTCTTTTTTCAGGCTAAACTTACCTTTTAATTTATTGGTCCCAGCAAAAATCTAAGCTAGGGAGAAAAATCTAAACTAGGGATAATCTAAACCAGGAGCATGTCCTGGGACTCTATAGGTGTTTTCAAGGCATCACTACAGATATTCTCCTTCCTCAACAGGAAAACCAACAAGGAAAATGAAGATTTTTTCTAGGGACTGAAGCTGGGACTGGAGGTTCCAATGTGTACGTAGAGCTTGAAATGGGGCACACAAAAGTTTGGTGAGCCCCAGTTTGATGTGAAACAGCTCCTTCAAAACGCATGCTCAGCTGGGTCCTAAATTCTGGAAATATCCACATCTTCCAAAGATGTGCCTGAGTGACTTGAGCTGTGAAAGTCTACAGCTGTACCAGACGTGATTTTGCAGAACTGCAAACATATGTTCCTACTTCATCAGGTGCCATGTAACAGTTCAGGCCTCACATAGGTCCTTTCCTTATCTACATTTCATCTGAATGCAGTTGGATTAGATTAGGTACAGAAATTTAGGAGATATTTTCCAGCTCTAAATCTGATACAAAAGAAGTTTATTTTCCACCAGCCTGAAATTTCGTGTTTCAATATTTTTGAGGACCGAAATCAGCACTATCCCTGTGTTTCTGCTGATCTATCATAGCTGGAAGCTCAGCAAGCCAGCTCCACTCATCCTCATTTGGAGCACTTCAATCTCCCTGTACAAGAAACAGACCCAACAACATATAGAGGTTTCAGATGTTCTTGGATCATTAAGAACAAGAGGGAATTCATTAAGTTCTTGCTCTGTAAGATATTGGGGCTCTGTGTCTTTTTTTGCAAGTCTTTCTTTACCAAAGTCACCGTAATTTCAGTGAGGTTGTTCTTCAAGCAAAGCTGTTTAAAACCAAGAGGATAATTCTGTGGGTTGGGACCTTACAAAATGGGAGATGAACTGACTGTTATGTGATGGCAACAAATCATTGTATTATACCTACTGTAATAGGAATCACAGCTTACAGTATAAAAGATTTTCAAATGGTTTCAATCACATCAGAAACTCCTAATGGAATAATTTTTTTAAATAAGTATGTATATAATTTGCAAATAATTATTTATATGATTTATATAATTATTTAAATGTTGTGTGACTAAAAATTTTAAAGTGATACTGATCAAATAGAACAGAAGACTAGAAGAAAACCTAAATTCTACAAACTATTCTACAAACTGTTTTTCACTTGAGTCCTCTGCAGAAGTTGTATACATACTTATATCTATGAAAAATACAGAGATGGAATCAAGAAAAAATAAATATTCTCCAGGACTCCTGCTTGCATGATAGTTGTACTGTAGCTAGATACTACCTAAATTATTCCTGTGAAGCTAGACTTTGTTTGTGCTGAAGTCAGCCCGTCTATATAGAAAGTTAACAGAGCCAAGTCATGGATGTGGGCAGTGTCCCACAGCTGCTCACACTATTACATTGTTAACATAGCCCCTAGCATTGCTTTGACCTGTGTCCAAGAGCAAATGCCCAGACAATGCTTGAGCACAGTGGGGATAGCACAAATGAGCTTATTCCCAGCATGAAGATTGCCTGTGGCCACTTTTTTAGGGTGTGGGAGGGAGATAGTTTATTTGTATCAGCCAGGGACCAAGAACAGGCTGATTAAATAATATGCTATTATTTAATAGCATAGACATGGAGTCTTGTGTGTTGGTCCCAGTTGGGTTAAGTTCATAACATTTATCTGTTTCCAAAACAGAGTTAGAAAACTTGGTGTCATCATGGAGCATGACAGGAATCCAGCAGTGTTCCAGACCTAAAACCTGCACACACGTGTGTGCATGCAAACACTCCCTGTGCTGGAGAAACTTAAAAGACCAGTGACAGGACAACGACCCCACTGAGATGAGTCCAGTAGAAATCCTCTTTATGGGATGTGATAACTTCTAAAGGTGCACAATGAAATTGCCTTGCAAAGGACAGTGTGGATTACAGGTGAGGAAATTGGAGAAAGAACAAGATATGCTCAATTTTCTCTCTGCTGCTTCTATAATTTGAGTATCTGCTCACCTTGCCTTAAATACACTGGCATTTATGGCTAGGTAGTTGCATTTAACAAGGAGACTAAAAAGGAAAAGCAGTGTGATGAGAAATGTTAGATATGAGATAGAAGTAAGAGATTTTCCATCTGCTATCAAGGACAGCCCAGACTGGGGGAAAAAATAAATAAATCTCTGTTATCCATTTAAAGATTTAAAGTATTATATTTGATGGTAAGATAATAAAAGATAAATCCTGATATGTTTTGTTTGTTTGTTTGTTTTTGTTTTTTCTTAGACTGAATTCATGTCAAAGAGGAGATTCCCACGGGCAATGAACAGAGACCTTTTCCGGAATTCAGAGCTCAACATCTAGACAAATTCCTTCCTCAAGTGTTCTTTAAATTCAGGACTTAGATCTTTCACTTTCTTCAACCTTCAATCTTCAATCTTCAGTTTCCCAGCTCTAAATCAGCATGTGATGAACTGTAGTGATGAGGATGCCTTATTCATGGGTCTTCATGTATTGAGAGTGTGATTTCAAGATTATAAAAAACAAAACAACAATTAAAAAATAAATAAATAATGTTGTCTAAGCTACCCACTCTGTCTACATGAGCTTAACTCCCATGGGTGGCCCTCCTGAACAGTTTTTGTACTCTCAGTGTTCTGCAAAAATTTCTCAAGAATCAAGCTGGATGTCATGTTTTAATACTCTACCCTGAATAGTGGCCAGCAAGATGCTGGACAGGCCTTTTACGAGTAAGAGTCTCTATAGTCATCCATGTACCAGTGATGTACCTATGCCACTCACAGCACATTCTCAGCCTCAAAGACAGAGCATCTCAAAAATATTTCTGGTTTAATTTCCTTTTATCTAAAGAAAAGCAGAACAATGTGTTGACTATTAAAGAGTTGTAAACAGCATGCCGAAGACTTTATAAGAGGGTGACTTTTTATGATTTAAGATCATCATTAGGGAATTAATTCAAAAGTTCTCAGACCTGTGGAAGCAATGTGAGAGGGAAATGCTATTTGGCTATATCCCATACACTTCTTTTTTTTCTTGTTTCTTCTTTGTGTTATGTTAGAGATGTAGTAGACAAGAGTCTATAAATGTCACTACAAAAATATGTGAATAATTTTCTTTTTCTCTGTAATTCATTTTCCATTTCATGTTCTCAATAAGTAAGGCATTCTTACAGGACTAACTTCCTTTAGGATGAGTGCTCTGAAGCACTATACTTCCACAACTCACAAGATTTAGCTTCTCAGCTACTGAGAAAATATTGTCTGCAAGTCTCTCCGATATCTGAATGTGATGCACAAGCTATTAACTTAGAGCATGTGCATAGGAAATGTGGTCCTTACTGCAGACATTGGTGTGCTCTGGTCTGAGAGATTGTTCCTGCTCCTTTCAGTATGGGGTTAAGAGGTGATTTGCTTTATAAGGAAATTAAATAGGTGAAGAGGAAGAGAAATGGGATTTTTCAGCTTACCCAACATTTTCGGTGTGTTCCACTATATAGATTCCACTATATAGATTTCAGCAGTAATCTATATTCTTCATGCTTTTGGCAATCTCAGTGCAGACAAGGATCAACAAAATATCTGAAAACTACATTTCAAGTCCTTCATTCACTTTGAATGAAATAAATAATAAAAGGAACGAGCCAAGAAAGAGTAGAGATGGAGACTTCAAGACCTATTAAGAAATTGTGTAAAACTTGCAGCATTCTAGTATGAAATTCTGCATAGAGAGTGATCAAACATAGCAAACTTTCAGATAGAGTGGGAATTCATGGAATTGAATCAGGTATTTTGATTTAAGGTTAGCTGTCCAAAATAGAAACATGAGAGTCCCCTGCTGAAGCAGGTTTTAGCACTGGGTATGCTGAGCTAAGCCACAACCAGCTCCAAATTCCAATTACACCCACCTCATATACATGCAAGACAAATCAGAATCGGTGTGATGATTTCTCAGGAGTTACTGCTGACGTTTAGCCAGTTTAGTACCTGTGTATGTGAAAGTATCATCTACTTACCCTTTGACTTTCCAGCCTTTCAGTAGGTTCACTTACCGACAGGCCATTTGGGTGGAGTTCAGCTGGACTTCAAGATCTGAATCGATTTCCCTGGGACCATAGCAAAAAAGCTGAAGTTTTGGGCCAGAACTCCACCTCATGTTATGTAAGCATCACTGGGGGATGGAGCCTGCATTGGTCTGGAGGATTTAGACAGGTTTTTACCAGGAATCTGGAGAACAAAGGTCAGAGCAGTTCTTGGAAATGTTTTTTTCTACTCACTCACAGTTTGTAAATGAATTTGTGATGGTAAGAGGACAGGAAAGATAGTCCTTGGCAAAGCAAATCATTGTGGGTTATTTGTGAATTTTTTGAACTAGTTTCTTTCATTAAATATCATTAAGCTCAAAGTATCATATCATTAGGAATTAAAATTAAAACAAAACAAAACAAGCAAACAAAATAAGGCATAGCAAAACAAATATAAAAAAAAAACACTTTAATTTTCCAGAATTTGGAAGTTCTTTCCAGCCCAGCAAGTTTTTCTTATCCCCAGTAACCAATCCCCAATTACCTAAATGAACATCCGCTTGAAGGCTCAAAACTGCAGTCTTAAGGGTGCATATTCTGCCTTTCACTTCCCCGGGAAAACTTTTTTTTTTTTTTTAAAAAATGAAATACTGCATAACTGTATCTACACCCAGTCTAAGCATCCAAAATGAGAAACATCAACTTTCCAGCTCTCATTCTGAAAGGAGGAGCTCTGCCTATGATACAGCCTAATAAATTACAGACTGGTAAATAACCAAGACTAATTTCTTTAGCTCATCCTGTCCCTTCAAAATACCAAGAGTCAATGGATGACGTCAAGTCTGCGTGCTGGCTTTCAGTTTGGCTCACTGAGCTGCTGTGGCCAGTAATACCTTGGCTCCTCCAGGAGCTTTCACACCTTTGTGCACTTGACCTTTTCTTTGTAAGACTTGGCCTCAACTTTTTTTTTTTTACACTCTGCTCATTGAATGAGAATAAAGCTTAGTGCCAGAAAGCTGCCACTGAAAGGATTGGGTAAAATAAAACTTGTATTAAAAAGACACTTCTTACAAGCAATTATCATTCTTGGGAGCTTTGGAAGTTCCTTCTGTGTTGGGAAGCAGATGCTTCAGAACATCTGTTGCACACAAATACAACTGGATTGACAGCAACACATCCTGTTATTGTCTTGCAAAAACAGGGTAAGATTGCAGGTAAACAAGAAAAGGGTTGTAGAAAAAGTAATTGTTTATCTGAAAGCTTCCAGCCCCGTTCAGGAATTGTGCTGAAAGGCATGATTTCTCTTCTCTGCACCAGGCTTGATAATGGATAGACATTTGTTATGAGGGATTAATGATAATTGGCTCGGGAGCAAGCCACATCCTTGCCTTGTGTACTTCTGGCACTGTAATTCAACACGCTTTAGCCATGTTAGCCCATCTGGCTGGTTACTTCCTTCAGACATTTGGCTAAGCTAAATGATCTTGCTAGGACCAGTCAAGAAGGAATGCCCTAAAACTGCACGTGTATGCCAAATGAATATTTTTGGTTTGTCTTTTTTTTTTTTTCTTTTTCTTCCCAAATTGTAAGCGATGGTTTCTCCAGTGATTTCAATTGTTTTCATTCATATTCATTTCCTGGAGGATCTTAGCTAGATATTTGTACTTAAAATAAAATAAAAAAATAATTGTAATAACAACTCCTCTTCCTCTCCAAACCGCATACACTAGCATACAAAACTGGCGTACAGTATTTTGCTTTGGGTTCGCCCCTTTTTCAAACTCAGGCCAAAGCTTGGAATGCAGTTGTACATTTTTAGCAGTCACATTAGCACCAAGAAATAATAGCTGAAGTAAAGATGCCATTGAGAGAAGCTTTGGACATAAAGTGGAACATATTCCAGTCACACGCTTTGTGTAGCTCTGACAGTGTCACCAAAGGTTATGCTCTTTTGTTTGCCATGAAAACACTGCATGAGTGGATCCTGTGACCTGTACTCCAACTTGCCATGGAGAACATCCCATCTCACTTTCAATCTACCAGATACTCCTGTTGCAGTAGTGACTTTTTGTAACCTCTGACTATACAGGTGACAAAATGCTTACAAACTGGGTGTCTGGGACCACCGGCTTTGACCATGAGTGGAGGCCATCAATGGGCTGCTTAAAAAAGGCACTTTGGCAATGTTAGAGAAGAGGGCGTTCCAGTTTAAAAGCTTTCTTCCTGGGTTGAACAGAAAAAATAACTAAATAAAAATAAATAAAAATAAAAATAAATAAAAATAAATACATAAAATAAAATAAAAATAAAAATAAAAATAAAATAAAAATAAAAATAAAAATAAATAAATATTGTGTGTGATCCCCTGCTAATCAGTCCTGTCTCATGTCTCTTTAGGAAGAATTTCTTTACTGAAAGGGTTGTTAGACATTGGAACAGGCTGCCCAGGGAGGTGGTTGAGTCACCATCCCTGGAAGTCTTCAAAAGACGTTTAGATGTAGAACTTAGGGATATGGTTTAGTGGGGACTGTTAGTGTTAGGTCAGAGGTTGGACTCGATGATCTTGAGGTCTCTTCCAACCTAGAGATTCTGTGATTCTGTGATTCTGTGTGATTCTATGTATCTGGTGACATCTTCCAGGGCTGGAGAAACATTAAAACTGACTTTCTTCTGAAAGCACCTGAGTGTCATCAAAATGTCAGTTGTAAAAACACTGAAGAATGGCACTGAAGTTTTTCGTCACAATTGTCACATTTCTTAGTTGTGAGACATGGCTCTGTAACAACCTCTTTTCATTTTCCAACAGGAGAAAATTTATGCGGAGGTGAACTTTGAAGGTCTGCAGGCTGATACCCTACTAGGATGTTCAGAACAGTTTCAAGGATGCATCTCACAACTAAAAACACATCAGGAGATGTTTATTTGTTTACAAAGAAGTTATAAATTTTCATGAATATTCCAAAATAATGCATTTTCCAATTACAGTTACTTTTTCTCACTCGCGTATGATTCAAAGCCTGTGGCCAAATAGAAAATTCTTGATTCATCTCCCTGGGCTCTGAGGTTCCTTTTGGTCAAATTCTTGGTTCCTACAAAATCAAGGATTTCACTGCAGTTAGGGTTTTTTACATTGGACAGGAATCTGACTTCCCCAGTCTCACTGGAACAATGCAACCCTGCAAGGGTCACCCACTGACTTGTCTGTGAAATAAACATCTCAATGAACATAACATTCCTTGCTGTAAAATCAGACAAATTGCCAAGAGTGACCATATGAATAGCAGATACGACCGTCTAGTCAAGCCTGATAGATGACTGCTGGGATTCGGGGGAAGAATGTTTCACTTTAGTGAAGAGCAGTGAAGAAAAAGGGGACAAAACTTCCCAAGGGCTGAACCAAATTTTGTGGTCTGTAAATGTGTTCTATCATGTGAGCAGCTCGGAGACTCCTCTTTCCCAGACCATTGCAGCTACTACCATGTGTCTTAATAGAGTGGAATTCACTCAAGGCTTTGTAATGCAAATATCTCCACATGTGCTGATTACTGAGAGCATCTTCTATAGTTTGTAGTGATTTAGTCGAGAAGTGATTAATTTATAAAGCATGTGCCTAAAGTATGCCATGTGAATCCCACCTAATTTTCTTTTTTTTTCTTTCTTTTTTTTCTCTTTCTCTCTCTCTATATATTTATATATTAGGTACAAACAACAATCATCTTCTGTGAAGAGAAATGGGAACTCAAATCAGCCAAACAATGTTGAATAATAACCCTTGTGCTGAGCAAAGAGACAGAAGGGAAGTTATTTTCTTTCTTTATATTTTGCTGATTTCCAGTCCATCCCTGATTGTCCTTTTCAGGCAACTTTGATATCTTCTCTCCCCTTGCTATAAGGGCTGTGTTTCTGCCTCCTAATGCATAGCAGCAGAATCAGCAGATGGCCTGGTGATATGATTTGGGCTCTCTGCTCGAGGGTCTGCTGTGCGCTTTGGAAACAGCTGAATTTCAAAACACTTGGACACCACGGTCTGAGGGAACCAGTGAGCCATATAAGAGCACAGCACCCACTAATTCAACTGTTAAAAAGATGGGAAAAATGACACTGCTAATGTGGCAAATGGAGATAAAGACATGCTTTCAGGAAATAACCCACTGGAGGGTGCCTGGCTACATTCTTGAGAGTTTTTTTTTACACCAACATGGTTCAGGAAGGCAGGATTAAAGGAAAGCATCTGCCCTACAGAAGTCTGGGCAGTTCTTGCTGTGGCATACTTTCAGCTGTGTTGACGTGGCACCTGATGCTGAAATAATTGTATGTGTCCTGGTGTCCAGAAATATTCTCAGATGGGGTTGTCACATGGCAAAGCAGCCTGTGGCTGCGAGGACATCAGTCCAGATGTGAGGAAGCTGTGCTGGTTCCAGCAGCTAACTTTAGTCTAACTTCGTGAAAACAAAAATGGTCTTGGGAGGACAAGGTTTTTATTGGTTCTGCTAAGCCTAAAGGCATCCCAGTAGGCAGGTCAGGCTTAGCCATTATTATGGGAACCTTGGGTCTGATCCAGAGCCTACTAAGTCAAAGGGAGTCTGTCCAATGACTCCAGCAAGGCTTGGATCTGTCCCACTGGGTACAGGACCGGAGACCTTTGAAAACATTGTTTTCCTCCAGTTCTCCAGTGTACAACAATTTTAGAAGTCCTGCATCTTTCATTTTTCTCTTTCCACCCCCCTCCCTCACTCTTGCCCTCTAATATTTTTTCTCTTTCTCTTCTTTGGCAGTTACTGGTCTGGAAAAGTTAGAGGAGAAACACGATCAGGCTGTTTTCTTCGGTCACACGCCGCCCTCAGCATTGTCTCGGGTAACCGGGCTGCTGTTTGCTAACCATCATTACCTATTTCCAGTGGAATTGTTATCTGGAGCTCCAGGTTCATCAGGCAAACTGGTGCAGTGCAGCGGAGATCCTGCTTTTTATTGATTGCTCTGGTTTTTATTGCTCTGTTGCAGGCAATGTCCAGCCCTGCAGGTGCTCTACCAAAGCCTGCAGCTAGAGGCCAGCTGCAGATTATCACCTCCTGGGGTGAGGTTCAGAGCAATGTCACTGGCTCCTTGTTCTTCCCACGCTTTCCTCTGCATCTGATACACAGAGATGCAGCTGGAACTATTTTCTGGGGGTGGGGGGAGTCAAGATATTTTCTGACTGCACTGTGCCATAGTGTATATCTGGTAACAGCTCTTTGCTTTTTTTCTGAAGGCCACTGAACCTTACCTGTGTTTTATCCCTGTATTATCATGGCCTATATCTGGATAAAGGAAAAGGGAAGCAGCCAGGAATCCCTCCTGTACTTGAGTCCCTCAGAATCACCAATTTTAGCATCCTTGCAACAAACTCTCCCCTTGCTCCCCCTACTCTTCACCTACCTACAGGAGAGTGAAAAATAAGAATTATTATTGCAAGTCGAGAAATGCAAAAATTAAGGGCCCTATGAGGTTATCTATACAAAGGAATCCTGTGTCATTGGAGATACTTTAGAGGTAACTTCAAGATAGGATGAGGGATATGACACGAGACTTGCAGGAGACATGCATCCTCCTGGAGCAGTACCTGGGACCCACACAAAGTATCATAAAGCAGCAAATGATCTATGTGTAGGCAGCTGAGTCATCTTGGGGCTGCACAGAGATCCCGTGCCAGTGCAGGAATCATAGAATCATGGAATGGTTTGGGCTGGAGGCATCCTTAAAGATCATCTAATTCCATCCCCCCTGCCACAGGCAGGGACACTTCTCACTAGACCAGGCTAAAAGCCCCATCCAACCTGTCCTTCAGGTAAACTTCTGAATCTTATAAACTACAGCCCTTCATCATCACCTTTATATAGTTACACTGCCAGATCAGAGCTAGCCTTGAAAACAAAGGTCCTTTATCCAAATCTAGATGTCCTATTTCAGTTATTCATTATTTGCCAAATT